CTAAGATTTCCAAAGGGGTCCCCACCTCCATTCGAAATTGTTTAGGGCTCTGCAAATGGAAAAAGGTTGCAAACTGCTGTCCCAGGCTATTAGCTGCTTTGTTGAACAACCCTGGGGCCACCATGTCCCTTCCTCCTCTCCCCCCCCCCCCCCCCCGCAATACCAGCCAGGCTGGGTGTGCCTCCAGGTGTATCGGACATTTGGGCTAGCACTAAAGAAATGTGCTGGAGAACAGTCTGAGGAGTCTCACTGAGCATAGTGTATAATGTATATGGTGCAGATTGGTGTCTAAAGCTTCTTTATTAACTTCCATGCAAAATGCCAGTGGTGTTTTTCTAGATGAGTGGGTAGCCAATATTTTGGGAGCGAGGGAGCAAACATGGCCAGAGCCTGCATATCCAGAGGCTAAGGTTTCTATCACTGGCTGCTTTCGACTGTTATAATTTGTGGCACGGATTCAGTGAGAATCTGCTCTGCTGAAAATATTTGGGCTGTGAAAACTCCCACACTGTGACAGATGTCAAGTCCAATTAAGCGACTCGTGTCCAGGTTTCTGTCCAATAGGATTTCCCATTAAATATCAATTTAAGGGGGGGGAGGGAATGCCATCCCTCTTTCCCTATGCCTTTATCTCTTCCACCATCTCCAGGCTCAACCCTTTGGTACCAGGAGAGAATCCACAGCATCTCTCTGTTTCTCTCCCTTTGCCACCTTCCCCAGCTTTTCTTTGCTTCGCTATCACTACAAGCGGGGACTTGCACTTTTTCACCAACATCATCTCTTGCAGCATTTCCAAGCCACTGGCAATGTTTTTTTTATATATATATAAATAAAAGAGATAAAGAAGGAGTTGGGACAGAAGGATACGAGGTATATTTTAAATCTGATCTTCAAGGACTGGAAGAAAACTAAACATTTATTTCCCTCTACCCCAGTAAATAAATACATACATAAAAAGAAGAAGGGGACGCATCATTATTCCTGATTTACAGTACTGTGTGCCTGGGAATAGAAGAGACATCAGCTGAACAAAGCCTATCTCTACCAAACAATCTCACTTCTGAGCCAGATCATATCAGAGACCTGCATATCATTCTCTCTTTACAGGGGTAAGCCAAGGAGTACAACATACATTAAATCTTATCCCGACCATCATCTTTATCGATTGTGCTGCTATTAGGAAGGAGAGGGGGGAAATATCTTGATTGTGTTTATCTCTGCATCTCTTTTGTTATTTATCGAGACCCGGGAGGAGGAAGAGAAGGGGAAAACGGCACTTTTCAACACATTCTTCCCTCCCACCCCCCGCGAAACACACCGGCTACTGATATATTATAGATCTCTGGGAGAAAAAAAGACTCTGCTGGGGAAATGTATTTCTAATACGTCTTAAATTACCTACGTTGTTATTTATACTCTCCAAAAATTAGATAACATCTTCCATTTCTGGACTTGCGAGGCCATCACAAGGAATGAGATCTGCCTTTTCCAATTCAGATAGAACAACTCGCTGCTTTTAATTTATTTTTATTTTTGATTTTGATTTTTCTTTTTAATGTTCCTCTCCTGGAGTTTCGAACTGTAAAAGCACCAGGGTGGGGGAAAGGGGGCTTTAAGAAAGACTGTTGCAAAGACTCAGGCAAGGTAAGCTCTCTTTAACTTATATTCTTTTGCAGGTGAAATTGGAATCGTTTTATTTGAAATCTCTCTTTGTTCAGATTGCCAACATAGACGCTGGATATTGTTTGAGATCAACCAAATCGTAAAGAAAGTGAATTCAACACGCTGTATGGACAAACCTTACAGCAACTTTCTCCTATAACTAACGCTATAATTTCCCGTTTTATATGTTGCCACGCTGTAAATTTCTAAAGCTATTTATCTATCCGTTCTTTCCAATCAACCTCTCAGCTGAAAGGCGCTATTAATATTTTTCAGAAGATCTCTGATATTTAACCTGCGTAGTGGCTTGTTATTTTGTTTTGTATTCTTGCTTTCAGAACCTCATTAGTAAAATAATCAGCATTTTAAAATAGCAATAAGCAATTCGGAAAGTTCTAGTGATCTCTGAGTCTCTTCTCAATGAAGAAATGTTGCTGTTTTTCTTTCCCCCTTTTTTCTGTTTTGTAATCGTTTCATGTTTGTTTCCTTTGCTCTCTACACAGCTTCCTGCAGCTCCACTGTTTGTTTTCTTGACACATTCGCTGGCATATTGATAGACTTTTAATCCGTGTGGAGGTGTTGTAATAAAACAACTAGCTACAGAGAGATCTGTATTTTAGACTCTGAATTCCCACTCAGCCTTCCCTCAAACGAAGCCCCTCAATGTGAAAAGCATTTCAAACAGGCTGAAAGCTTACCTGACACCTCACCCTTTATTATTAATTATCCTGATTATTTTATTTAAAATCTTTAATGTGTTCTGAATCATGCAGTCTTTCGTTTTGAAGATTTTTTTTTGCAAACTGGTTCTGAGTAATAAAATAAAATAATAATAATAATAATATTAATAATAATAAATTATTAAATGCCCACAGTAGTTAAGATCATAAACTTTACATTGAAATATTTTGTAATCCTAATTTTTGTGGTAGGATGATGTATTCCCTCCCCCACCCCACATTTGTGTCCAAGGTTATTCTCTAGTTGCCTGATGTATTGTTTTATTACATGCCGGCATGTCCATATGAGTTCCTGGATTTGTATTGCTGTCTACATGACAGATGGTGTTCCGTGAAGCTGCAAGAAGATACGATTCAATTTTCTTTTGAAAGGCACGTCTAAATTCATTCATTTATTTATATATTTTAGAAGGAGGGAGAGAGAGAATGAAAAGAAATGTGAAAGTTTTTTTTTAAACCATCTTTAATAACCTGGAACCCAGAAATATCCCCATCCAATCAGTTACTCTGACGCTATAGATTCAAGAAAATTAGCATGAGAAAGCAGCCCCGCATTGTAGGAAGAATAGAATAGAGGAGACACATTAGATCCTATAGGTTTGATTGTATCTCCCCCATACTTCCACACTGGCCTTGTTATGGTTAAGGGGTCTTGAGTTATATGTCTTTCTATTTTAAGCCATCAAATCCATATTGGATTCCATTTCCCTGTTAAGAAAAAAAAGTTTAACAGACAATTGTTAGAGGGGAAATACTGTATTTAGAAATGAAAAATCTATTTAATATTTGGAGAGTAGGTGAATTATTGTTTTATTATTCTTTTATTTTGTTATTGCTCCCTGGGCCTGTTTCCACAAGCAAACAAACTAGGAAAATGATCAGAGGAAGAATATTCTGTAAAAGCTGTTGACAGCTGTTAGATTGTAAATTATATAGTATGGTTCATTGTTGTTATTATTATTCCTGTGATCATTGGTAGTAACCCTTTCCACTTAATAAAAGAATGGATTTGATTCCTCTATAGAAATCTCCCTGTTATAACCTAGGTAAGATCTAATGTTTATCTTTTGTATTTTGTATTTTACCGAGATGGGGGTTGTTTTGTTCAGAACCAGTTAGTTGGGATTTACAACCCCTTGAGAGAAGTAGGGAGGAGGCTCAGGCAAGGGGAAGGACATTGGTAATTATTATTAAGTAATTAATATTTATAATTATTTATTATAATTATGTAATGTTATTTTTCAAAGCCAGGTAAAGGGAGATATAATCAGAGGCTAGAGGGCATGGTTCTACTCTGCTGTAACACCACTGAAGTCAATGACACAAAGCTAAAACTGACACAAGTGAGAGCAGAATCGAACCCCAGTCTAGTTTGGTTAGACCCAACCTGCCTTTGTGCCCAAACGCATTGTTGTCTCGTTGTTATCAACAGGCCCTATCTCTAGCGGTCTCCTGGTTTGATCTGGTGTCTCTTTCTCCTTGGGCTAAATTGTTCTCCCTTGCAACGGTGTCAGTCTGGAGTCACTCCCGTGCCTTGGCTAGAACGACTCCAGCAGGGTACACCAGCGCGTGTCAAGAGCACAATGCGGCCCTGTGTCCTGACCTGGGAGGCGATCACCGGCTTGCTCTCCCCAGAGCGGAGGGGCACCGTCCCTGGCACTTTCAAGGCCAGGGAGTGTCATTCCAGCCCGGCTTGGTACTGACAGATGAGCTCCGCGTGCGGGGCGGGGCTGGGCCGGGCTCCCAGACCCTCGCCCAGGGGAAAGGGGCTTTGCCTTGTAACAGTAACAGTGTGGACTTTTCTATTTTGTGCCTTCCTCCTTCCCTTATCCCTCCCCTCTTCTCCCCCGCCCCTTCCCCTGTCCGTGTCACTGAAGGGTCATTTCCCCACCCCACCAAAATGATGCTCAGCCCGGACCAAGCGGCGGATTCCGATCACCCCTCCTCGGCTCCCTCGGACCCGGAGTCCCTGGCGGGGACCGACGCCAAGGGGCTGCTAGGCTGCTGCGTCTCGGACCCGGAGCCGGTGGAGGAGGGCGGCGGCGAGGGCAAGGGGGGCGGCCGGGCGGCCCTGCACCCCCAGCAGCTGAGCCGCGAGGAAAAGCGGCGCCGGAGGAGGGCCACGGCCAAGTACCGCTCAGCCCACGCCACCCGCGAGCGGATCCGGGTGGAAGCCTTCAACCTGGCCTTTGCCGAACTGCGCAAACTGCTGCCCACCCTGCCCCCGGACAAAAAACTCTCCAAGATCGAGATCCTGCGCCTGGCCATCTGCTACATCTCCTATCTCAACCACGTGCTGGACGTGTAGGGGCTGGGCCGCGGGAGAGAGGGACCGCGGAAGCACTGATGGAGGAGAAGGAGGCGAGGCGCACTGCCGGGAGGTGATACTGACAAGGGGAGACACTTGCAACATATTCCACCTGGGGAAGGGAGGGGGCATCCTGGGGGCCCTCTGAGCCCTTCCTGGCACACCCTGGGGTGTATCTGAATCTTTCGGGACAGCTTTGGGGGGTTCCCCCAGGGTCTTTCGGGTCAGACATTGCAGATGCATCTGCGTTTTCCAAGACAGCTGTAGGGCGTGATAACCAGCCAAGATCATTCATATCAATAGACCAACTCGCTGTCTCCTGCAGGGCTAGCTCCTTTGGAAATCACTCCAGACTTCGCAGGTAACATTTCATTGTCCTCCCTTTCTTATTGAAGGAGAGCTCAGAGCTCTGATGGCTCTAGGGGACAAAAGCTCCGAAATTAGAGACTTTTTTATTTCTCCTCCATGAAAATCGCACAGTGCCCTACACGAAATGCAAGAGACGAGTTTGTTTTTCACACGAGATCTTTTACAATTAGCCTCCAATTCAGCAAAGCACTTAAGCACTTGCCAGGTCAAGGGGACTTTAAAACGGGCCTAAGTTCTGCAAGCTTAAGTGCTTTGCTGAATGAGGACATTAACGACTCAGAAGGTAAAAGGAAGCTATAAAGAACATAAAAAGGGAAAGGGCAGATGCATTTCCAAAGTCTTCTGGGGGTATATAAAAATATACTGAATATTTTGCAAGGTTTTCTTTTTTTAAATCATTTCCCACCTATACCGCAATGTGGAAGAGCAGTTTGGTGACACAAATATAGAAAGTCCAGTTTTAGAAGGAAAATGTAAAATCAGATTGTTTTTCAGGCTGTCAAGTGCCCCTTTATATATCCAAAAACATCTACTTGTGACCTTAAACATGTGACCCATGGGTGCAGTTAAAAATAACTATTTTTTATTTAAGTTAGAAGGAGTAGACAATTTATTTTTTTCAAGACCTATTTATTTTTCTGAGTGGTGGCAATTTTACTTTGGATACTTTGTGCCAATTGGTTTATATAGTCGAGTGTTTACACTTTCTCCTGTGGAATATTATGTCTAACTTTTCAAGTGTTTGTTGGGATCAATACAGTGGTTATTTGTTTTTTGCTCCAATTATATTGCACTTGTATATGACAACCTTCCCTTCCGCCCTGTTTCTAAGTATATTTTATATATTAAGACATTTGTTCTTGAAGGATTTTTCTTTTTTGTGTGGGATCAACACTAGCACTTCACTAGAGGTTTTTTTTAAAAATACTTGTTGTTATTCTGAATTATAGTTATGTCTGAAAAGTACTTTACAAACAGTTTATAAGGGAAGTAGTTTTTTGTCTGTGTGTGTGCGTGTGTGTGTGTGTGTGTGTGTGTGCGTATGTATGTGTGTGGTATTTTTTTAGGAAATGACTTTTTTCCTAAAAAAATAAAAAAATAAAAATAAAAATAAAAAAAAATCCAGGACTACTTTCCTTTGTAACAACCAAAAAAATTCTATAACCTGAAAATGTTTCATGTTCTCTGCTGTGAATCTCTCAAAACAAGGAGCGCGTTTTAGAGACAAGAAAAAAGAAAAAAGAAGTCTGCGATCCAAAGATTTTAATCTTTTTCAGGGTTTTTTTGTGTGTCTTTGTTGCTTTATATAATGCAATATTTTGTAGTGAAAATAGATAAATCTGGTTTCTATCTGACGCGTTTTTCATATCTCTCATGAATGGTGCGCTGTTTTGCATATAAATAAAAGTATCAAATAAAGCTGGTTTTTCCTAATTATTTTTCTTTGTTTTTTCCATAAAATGGAAATTAGAAAGGATGCACAGCCAGTATTTGCACGAGATTTTTGAAGCCTTATGAAGTTGTCTATGAAAGAGTCTCAACAGGTAGCATAAAAAGGGACAGTTTCTGTCTGATACTAAAGATAATAATTTACCTGATAATAAAGAAATCCCTCAAATAAGGCCCTGATCCTACAACTGGGCTCAACAGATTCAGTTGCAGGATCAGGGCCTAACTGTGTATGAGCTGCAGGACATTTCTTTCATCCCCTGCTCATTCCACTGGGCATTTGGTAGCACACTTTAAAGTTCAGGCTGTGAAGTCAAATCAAACCTTTAGAACCACCTGTTTTTACAAATTGTTTCTGACGCATTCATCTATGAGGCTGGTATTTTACATGCTTTGTCCCTGCCTGAATGTGAGGTGTTTAGTTTTTTTAAGTTTAATTAAAATCCCTTCTGCCAGTTCTGATTCGGGTTCAGGCTAATAAAAATACAATTTTCTTGTTTATAAAAACTCCAACCCCACTTATTTGGACAGGGCTACAGCTAAAATGACTGACATTTGAAATGTGGCATTAACGTAGACCTGATTCTGTAAAGGTATATTACCAGGGTGAAAATCTCACTGTGCAGAGGACCAGACAAGGCCTAAGCACCACTTAACTGACAATTAAGCTCTTGTCTGGCTCCTCTGCATGGGGTGAATTTTACCTACAGTGCTTTACACTATGAGTAGTCCCATTGACTACAGGACACATCTTTAACCTTCACCGTAGTAATGATGTCCATCATCAGGCCCACAATCTTCACTGATGAATAGAGGCTTTGCTTAGTTTGAAGGGAAAAAAAAGATTTGATTAACCACAGTCCTGACCAGCTGAACAACTGTACACTGAGAAGGTACAGTAGAAGATGTTAACTCTAAAGGCGCATATTTTCATATGCACTGTGCAGCATATACAGATATTGCAGCCAGATGCACCCTTTTCAAAATGTTACAACTTTAAATGATCATGTAATTTTAAAACTTTTGCTCCAGTTTTCTTCAAATCTGGCTTGTTTCATGTAGACCACACAGAGATTTATCCATTATGCCAAGTGTGATAACAATTGACTGAGCAGATTTGAAGTTATGAACATTTACATTCAGCAAGCCCTGGCACTGCCTTAATTCACACATACTTACAAGGTCCGTAGACAAGTGTGGAAATGCACATTAGGGCCAGATTCTACTCTCAGTTACACAGGTGTAAATCAGTAGTAAGTCCACCCGTGTAAATAGGCTGCAGTACTAACATACAGAAATCAATCCTTGGCTGACTGGTGCCTCTAAGTGGACCAGTTCCTGCTTTAACTGAAGTCAATGAGGGGTGAGGGGTAGTAACAGGATCAGATCCTAAGTATCAGGAGGGGTAG